TCCTAGTGTAAGACAAGGATCAGCAACTGTTTTTCTCCTGGAAGATAAGGTGTCCTCCCTGGCTACAATTACTACACCTAGTCTTTATGAGAATGAGTAGGGGATAGGGCCGGGGATATAGCTCAGTGGCATAAGCACCTGCCTGGCAAGTGCAAGGTCCTGAGTTCGAATCCCAGTAACCAAAAAAAAAAGGCGGGGTAGGGGATAAAAGGAGCCAGCAAGTACACATTGCTTACATTCTCAGCAAAGGAAGACTGGAAAAAGAGGTGTGCATCTCCACCTTCAGTGCCTCTAGGGTCAAGAATTGAGGCCTGAAAACAGTGTGGGCACACACACACCCCATGTCTTGTTCCCGGGAGGCTTTCTGTCCTATTTTGAGTTGACTAAAGCACCCCCACCTCTCATTTTTGTTTTGTGGTACAAGGGATAGATCCCAGGAACTTGGGCACACTAGGCAAGCGACACCCCCAGCCCACTCATCTTCATCCATCCCAGAGGTGGCCATTCCTGCCCAGTTCTTGTTGGTGTCAATGACTCTCCATTGTGTCATTTGGAGCTCCAGACCCATTTGGAGCTCAGAGATGCTGATTCTCCACCTTTTTGTCTTCCCACCTGCCTCTCCTCATGCTTCCAGGCTCTTTAAGTGCCTGTGTCCTGAAATGGACCACTTGGGGATTGTTTTGGCCCAGTCTTCCATTTCTGTTAACATGTTCTGAGATGGGGGGCTCTTAGTGACAGAAAATGGAGGGGATGAGGAGTTCACCAGGCCGTTCAAGAAAAGTAGACCAGGCAGGCGTGTGGGAGAGATCCTGCCCAGATTGCCCTTGGGTGGAGTCCCTGAGCCTGTCCTGCTTTTTGTTTTGTTTTGTTTCAGTATTAGGAATTGAACTCAGGGCCTTTGCACTGAGCTACTTCCCCATTCCTTTTTATTTTTTTATTTTGAGAATCTTGTTAAAGTCACTTAAATTTCCCAGGCTGGGCTCCAACTTATGATTCTTCTGTCTCAGTTTCCCAGACTGCTGTGATTATAGGTGTGTACCACCTTGCCTGGCTCTTGTCATACTTTTATAAATATATTACTTTTGTTTTTTACATGCATTTTGTTAGTGCCTATCGATTTTACAAAATAATAGACTTCAATGTTATTTTCATACATGTATATATCCTTTTTATTTATTTTGTTGTTGTTGTTGTTTGTTTTTTGTCTTTTTGAGACAGGGTCTCCCTATGCAGTTCAGTCTGGTCTTGAGCTCACTTTGTAGCCCAGGCTGGCCTCAAACTCACAAGATCCTCCTGCCTCAGCCTCCTGAGTGCTGGGATTACAGGTGTGCACCACCACGCCTGGTGATGTATATATCTTTATTCATATAACACATTATGTTCATCCCTCCAGTTACCCTCTCTTCACCCTGTCCCCCAACCTTATCCCCTCCTGAACTCACACTGAGCCACATCTTCAGCCCTTTTTATTTTTTATTGTAAGAGAATGTCACCAAGTTGTCCATACTGGGCTGGAACTTGCAGTCCTCCTGCCTCAGCCTGTCAGAATGCTGGGTGACAGGCATGTGCCACCATGCAGCTCCTCTTTTCTAATAATAGTCTCCCACACCTGTAATCCCAGCACTTGGGAGGCTGAGGCAGGAGGATTGTTGTGAGTTTGAGACCAGCCTGGGCTACAAAGTGAGCTCAAGGTCAGCCTGAACTGCATAGTGAGACCCTGTCTCAAAAAGACAAAAATAATAATAATAATAATAGTCTCCCTTGTACTTTCATGCCATTTGAAAAA